GACAGCGGATCTCAACCTGTGGGTCGCGACCCCTTTGGTGGTCGAACGACCCTTTCACAGGGGTCGTGAAAATACATCCTGCATATCAGACATTTACATTACGATACATAACAGTAGCATAATTACAGTTATGAAGTAGCAACGAAAATAATTTTATGGTTGGGGGTCACCACAACATGAGGAACTATATTAAAGGGTCGCGGCATTAGGAAGGTTGAGAACCACTGCTCTAAGAGATGTCTTTACTGATCATGATAGACATTAAAAAACACAATAAGGGAATTCTACAAACAACTCTATACTTATCTCAGATGAAATGGATCACCATCAAAACTACCAAAATTCACCCAGGAAGAAAGGGATAAGCTGAACAGTTCTATACCAAAAAGGAAAACTCTTCAGTGCCATGTAGTTTCACTGGTGAATTTTACCAAACATTTCAGGACAAAGTAATAGTCATTCTACACAAGTTATTCAGAGAATAGAAGAGGAAGGAAAACTTACCAACTCATTTTATTAACCCAATGTTTCCAGATACCAAAACCAGATTTTAAAAAAACCTGAAAACCAAATCAGTGTTCCTCATAAACAAAGATGCAAAAAATCCTAAAAAAAAATAGCAAATTGAATCCAGCAATGTGTAAAAGAAAAACACTTTGTGACTATCATTTATCCCAGGAATTCATGGCTGGTTCAACATTTGAAAATAAATTAGTATATCTTACTATATTAACAGACTACATAAGAAAAACTACATATTCCTATCAATAGATGCAAAAAAAAAGCACTTGGCAAAATTCAACATTGATGATTTTAAAAACTCAGCACCATGAACCCAACAGATTCAACTGTGTTCTTTAAAAAAGAAAAAAACTCGACCAAGATGAGGAAAATCACATTTGGAGCCCCGGAGTCTAATCCATCTAGAAGTCCTTGGCTCTTTAACAGTGATAGAAATGACCACTGTCTAATCCAGAGAACTAGCAGTGTGACTTGCTTCATAAGAGGACTCAGTAGCTGGAGCTCCTGGCCAGCTGAGCTTTGCCTGGCCTGGGCTTCCCAAATAAGACTGTTTGCACCTGCAACTCAGCACCCCTGCTCCCATCTCCATCAAAGAGGCTACATTGCTGAAATGGTAGAGAGATGGTGAAGAGTGAGGAGAAGTGGCAGTAGCATTTGTTATGGTCTTGATAGTCTTACCAGGAGATGGCATTCACTACTTCTGTGTGTGTGTGTGTGTATATATATATATATATATTTTGATTTCAGAGGAGAAGGGCGAGGGAGAAAGAGATAGAAACATCAAGGATGAGAGAGAATCATTGATTGGCTGCCTCCAGCATGCCCCCTACTAGGGATGGAGCCTGCAACCCAGGCATGTGCCCTTGGCTGGAATCAAACCCAGGACCCTTCAGTCTGCAGGCCAATACTCTATCCACTGAGCCAAACCAGTTAGGGCTCTGTGCTTTGCTTTCTATCTTAAAAATTGTCTCTATTTATAAAGAGCAAACAAATAGAATGTGTACTTACCAGTAAGTTACATAAAGTATGTGCCTGTGTTCATATCAGTGTTCCAAAAACAAACATGAATAAATAACAAACTAGGAATAGCAGGGACTCTGATAAAAGGAATCTACAAAACCTAGAGCTAACATCATGCTTAATGGTGAAAGGGTGAATGACCCCTACTCCTGATACAATATTGTATGTCAATTATAATTGAATTAAAATTGTTATTATTTAATTTATCTTTGTTGTTGAAAGTATTATAGATGCCCCCCTTTGCCCCCCCCCCCGTCAATCCCCTCCATCCCGTACCTGCCCCCCACCCAGGCCTTCACCACACTATTGTCTGTGTCCATGGGTTATGCATATATGCATGTAAGTTCTTTGGTTAATCTCTTCCACAAACCACCACCACCCCCCTCGCCTTCCCTCAAGATCATATAGCTGTGCTTTGTGGGGGAGAGATTGTATAAAAGTAAAATCAGGAAACCCAGTTATTGGCTGTTACAGTACTTCAAGTAAGAGATTTTGGTGGATTGGGCTAGAATAGACTTTCTCAATTTTGTCCCTTGTCATTGGGGTTGGATTATTTTAGTTGTGAAGAACTTTCCTGTGCATTATAGATATTTAGCTATATCCCTGGCCTCTAACTACTAGATCCCAAGTAGCAACTAAATTGTGACAAAATTCCAAATTGTGATAACCAGAAATTGTTCCAGACATTAAAAAAATACACATAGGCCAATAAAACAATAGAGTGCCCAGAAATAAACTCATACATATATAGTCAACTCATCCTTGACAAGGGTGCCAAAAATCACAGTGGGGAAAGAAGTACTTCAATAAATGGTAATGGGAAAACTGGACCACATCTTACACTACACACAAAAGTCAACTCAAAATGGATTACAAGCTTGAATATAAGACCTGAAACTACTAAAACTTAAAGAAAACATGGAGAATAAGCTCCTTGACATCAGTTTTGGTGGTGATTTTTAAAATTTGATTTGTGTTTTTAATCATATGACTGTGCTTTGTTATAAATCAGATCTTGACACTCCCCTGCTTAAAAGCCTCCAGTCACTTCCCACTATCTATACTAATAAAAGGATAATATGCTAATTAGACCAGATAGACTGGTTGTCTTCCAGACGTCATCCCAGATGTCCTTCCTGACAAAGCTGGGGCCCGGGCGGTGTCGCCCGGGGTTCCGGGTGCCTGTGGCCTGCAAGAGGGAGGGAAGCCCAGGTCCCGGTTGCCTGCAGCTGGCCGGAGGAAGGAAGCCTGGGGCCCGGGTGCGGGGGCCAAGGCAGAGGTGGTTAGGGGTGATCGGGGCTGGCAGGCAGGAGAGTGGTTAGGAGCCAGCAGTCCCAGATTGCGAGAGGATGCAGGCCAGGCTGAGGAACCCCCCCGCCCTCATGAATTTTGTGCACCGGGCCTCTAGTATTTAGGATGAAATTCCAACTCCTTAACATAAAGTTGGTTTTATACTTTTACATTGCCTGGTCCATGTCTACCTCTTAGCTCAGTTCATACCATTCCCCTTTGACTACTATGCTTGAGGTTTACGTACCATCTTTCTGAATATCAAAAAAATGCTAAACTTGTTCTACCTCAAGGCCTTTGAACTTATCTTCTATCTGATCAGAAGTTTTTTCCTACAAGTTTTTTCTTTCACATGACTGGATGATTCTCATCTTTGAAATGTCAGGTCAAGTGTCACCTATTTAGAAGCAGACACTCCTATCCAGCAGGGCACTTCAATTATAGCACCTGCTTATTTTCTTCGTAACAATTATCCTTAGAAATTATTTGGTTTCTTCTCCTGAAACTAGAATATAATCTCTGTGAATGTAGAAATCTTGTCTGTTTTGTCCACCACTATATTTCTAGTACTGGATTGGGGCTTAGTAAATAAATTAAGTGTATGAATTTGTGTATTAGGAGAAAAATGGTTTTACTTACAGAAATGGCTAAGTCTCCAAAGAGCTTAGTTTCACTTTAAAGTGCAGAGTGAAATAGATGTTCCAAAGAAAATGTTTATTAGAGACAAAGGATTAAAGGGATGGACAAATAAAAGGGCAGGAGGAGTAATATATTCATTGAAATTGTGTGACTAGATGAGATTTCTAAGAGCACTGTTTCTCAAAGTGTCACGGCTTCTTGAATTGCTAGAGGTCTCCCTCCAGATCTTCTAGTGAAGATCTCTGGGTGTGGAGCGCAGGAATTGCCTTTTTAAAAGCTTCTTTGTCTCTCTTATGTATACTAAAGTTTAGGAACCAATGGGATAGTGATAGAGAGGAGCAATCAAAAGATTCATCCTGAAGATGGCCTGTCTCTAAGGGTGGGAGGGAAACATGAAGCCCAAGGAGATAGGAATGATGGGCTGCAGGTGCCAGGGAGAACCTCGAGTTCTGAAGGGCAGCCACAGTCGCAGCCGTCCTTCATTGGTCCGTTGGTCTGCTTGCGCTGCCGCAGTGCTACAGTTCCACAGACTGCGTGGCTTTTAAACAACAGGAGTTTATTTTCTCACAGTTTTGGAGGCTGGAAAGTCCAAGATCAAGTTCTAGCAGAGTGTGGTTTCTGGTGAGAACTCTTTCTGGCTTGCAGACAGCCTCCTTCTTGGTGCATCCTCACATGCCTTTTCTACTGGTGTTGCTCCTGTGTATGTGTGTGGGGTGTGTATCTCTTTCCTCTTAGAAGGCCATTAGTCCTATCAGATGAAGGGTGCACCGTTACAACCTTATTTAACTTTACCTCCTAAAGACTCTCTAAATTCAGTCATATTGGGGTTAGAGCTTCAATAGTAAATGACTTTTGCAGGGACCACGGGCCTCATGCAAATACAAATATTGTATTTGTTTCCATTTTGTTTTTTTACTTCAAAATAAGATATGCAGTGTGCATAGGAATTTGTTCATAGTTGTTGTTTTTTTAACTATAGTCCGGCCCGCCAATGGTCTGAGGGACAGTGAACTGGCCCCCTGTTTAAAAAGTTTGAGGACCCCTGGTATACATGGTTATCGTTTAATAGAAATGTAGAACTATTTTCTGAATAACTAAACCTGACCCACTTTCCATTCATAATTAAAATGTGGTTTCTATTTCCTTTGTTCCAAAAACCATTATTTTGCTTTTAAATTCTCTAATGACTTGTCAATATTTTGGTTTTACAGCCATGGCAGGCAGGTTTTGTAGACATGAATAGGAAGTTCGCACGCACAAGTCCTGAAGATGCCAGGGCCAGCAGAAATGAAGGTGGGAGCTTTTCTCACTGTAAGACCTTTTCAGTCATTTCACATACGTTCTATAAAGTATCTTATTTGTTTCTCTTTCATTTGTTGCTAATATTTGAGAGGATAATTGTGTCATATTTGATATCAATCTAAGGCAAACACAAACAAACGGGGACAAAAGAGCAAAGCCAGAAACACCACCAACCCCAACGTAGATCAACATCTTTCTCTTCAGATGACAGTTTATTTCCCTCTTCTTCTTCGTCTTCTGAGAGCGAGACAGATTCAAGTATTAACGGTATGTTTATCACCCTGTTAGGGTTTTTTGTTTATAAGTTAAATTATTTAGAGAAAAATTATTAAAATCCTTTATAACTTCTGTTTATTCAACAAATGTTTATTGAGAATATGCACTGTGCTCCAGGCATAATGGTAAACATGCCATGATTCCATCAGCCAAGGAACTGTTATTTCATTGGGCGATAAAGATAGCCCATTACAATATAGATGAGAGCTGTGACTTGGCACACATGAGTGAAGGAGACAGGAAAGGCTTTAAGAGGAAATTCTATCTAAACTGAGAATTGGAGGAGGGGGAGGCATTTTCCAGACAAAAGCTGGGGGAGTAGAATTCAGGAAGGTTGAGTATAAGCTAAAGGAATTGCATATGCTAAATAACCACTGTTGACATTTGGGTTTCTAATTCTTAAGTAACATGCTTTCACTTCTATTTCTTGATTTATCATGGGCTAATATGAGTTCTTGGTTGTAAGTAAAGGAAACAACTCTGGCTGGTTTAAATAAATGGGGAAGGCATGAAAGGGTATTAAGTAACCCACAGAATTGCTAAGAAGCTAATTAATCTCTGA